AACGGATACGTGTCAGGCTTAGCTATAAACTTGGCGGATACCAATAAAACAAAGTAATGCCCACGTTTAAAAAACACTCTCACCACCTTGCAAAATTAGACAAACAAATATGTGTTTTTGTTAGCAGTTATATTTTGTGTAGAGTATAAACATTTTTTCCAAGTATGAAATGTAGTTATCCATTTCTTCTCTGTTCCTTTCAACAAGTCTCTCAGATGCTGTGATATAGAGGCATGAGAAAACCTAGATTACGCTTTTCAAAGTGGTGAAGAGCCAGTTTATTTTTTATTAAATTTCTAATGCATGAAAAAACAATACTTTGTTTAATATATAAAAATATTGTGACAATATTAAATAGCTATAAAAGTTTATAAAAACTCTCAATTACTGTACTTATTATGTACTAGACCAGGATCAGTTGACTGCAACTTGGAATACCACAAAACTAGACCACCTATATTTTGCTATTTTTAACTTATTAAAGAGATCTTTGCCCTTTGAGTCTGTCATTTTTCCCTGATCATGATTTGTAATTTGAAAAACTCCTGACCCCCTTGTCCTGTTCCATTTCCTCCATCAGCACTTAACCATTCTGCTGTATTATATACATATTTCCTGATTGCATTTATGGTCTATCTTCCATTTACTAGAGAGTAAACTCCATGAGGGCAGGGCCTTCTGTTTGTTTGTTTTGCCTGTTTTGTTCACTGATATATTACCAGTGTCCGAAAGTGACTGGCATTAAAAAAAAAAAACAACAAAAAACCGTTGCTGCTGACAAGGTCATGGAAGCTCCATAGACACATCCAACTCCCTGAGGGACCGAATTGCTGGACAGAGGGCTGTGGGGACCATGGTCTCCAGGAACATCTAGCTCAATTGGCCTAACACAGTTTATAAAGAAAATGTTCTACATTCTATCTTGGTGAGTAGCGTCTGGGGTCTTAAAAGACTGTGAGCAGCCATCTAAGATACTCCACTGGTCTCACCCCTTCGGGAGCAAGGAAGAATAAAGAAAACAAGATACAAAGGAAAACAAGATACAAAGGACTAATGGACCACAACTACCACGGCCTCCACCAGACTGAGTCCAGTACAACTAGATGGTGCCCAGCTACCACCACTGACTGCTCTGACAGGGATCTCAACAGAGGGTACCTGACAGAGCTGGAGAAAAAAGTAGAACAAAATTCTAACTCACGTGACTTCTGGCAACATGGTGCTCTAGGCAGAAGCACCATGCCGTCCCTCCACAGCAAAGATCCAAAAAACTAAGCCAAACAGAGAAAACAGCAATCTTGAAACCATAAACATCAAATGAAAAGATAAAGAACTCAGCCAAGCACCAAATGGAATAAGAAACTGACAGAGAACAGAGAGCGAGGAGACATACATGCAGAGGTCCCCTATCAGCTGAGCAGCACAGATCTGCCATCTTGGACTCCTATCAGAGACCAGCAAATAGGGGGTATGAGAAAGCAGCTTCACGGAGCTTCCAGCAGGACACAGAACAACCAGTAACTGGCAATATATGCTTTCCCACCCCCCACCCTTCTTTACCCCCACTCGGACTCCTCTGCTTCCCGCGGCCACAGTCTCTTGGCCAGGAAGCACCGGCTGCTTGGATTCCACTCACCCGCACTGGCCGATTCCCTGAGTGCCATTTGTTGGCTGCTCGTGTTGCTTTTTTCCGCTTCTTTTGATTTCTTCCTTACCCCTCAACACCTCCTCCTCCTTTCGCTCAAATACCTGGCTCCGTGTGCCATCTTTGCTTCTTCCTGGGGGGCTGTGGAGCTCCGCTCCGAGTGTGGAACTGCTTCTCAGTCCATGCTGCCATGCTGCTGGGATCCTGGGTTTTTTTTTAGTTGTTTGTTTTGAATTGTCTGTGTGTTTTCTTTTTCTTTTCTCGAGTTGGGAGCCCATTCTGGCCAGGCAGTGCACACAGCTTGGGACCTAGCCCCTCAGCTTGC